TGAAACAAACACTACACACTGTTTATGCTGTTTTTGTTAGATTTCACCAGCGATTTCAAATTTGATTTTGAAACGTTATTGTGGCTTTTAGTTTGGGGTTTATGGACTTCTCTCCATTCTTAAGGACTTTGGTTACACACACACATTGCTGTATAATTTACCAGGCAGGACAAATCCAAAAGCTAATGTTATTTTTAGTTTTTGAACTGAATCCAATATGCGCACAGCTGCAAACCCAGCTCTGAACATCTGCATAAGAATATCCTCATAAGTGAAGAGATTACCAAGAGGTTGAATTAAGCTGACGAACTTCAAGACTTCAAGACGTTTCTGCACATGTACCATGTGACTCACACATGTTAAACATCTTCACAGTCTCACATCTGTGGCCAGCGTCACTATCTAACACAGCGTTCTTAGTTTAGAGAAGACTGATTACTATCACAGTTGAACATATTCTGCTGTGACTTGCTGTCAGCGGTAGCATTAACCTGACATACAGAGTCACTTTTAGAGTTTTCAGAGTTATTAAAGTTAACATCAGTCAGAGCAGAATGGAAATGATGGAGAATATATACGCAAATTCAGGAATTACTGCAGACAATGGGAGAAATTCAGACAGCAGTGGACACTCACATGAAGACATTTACGTCAATGAAGACAACATAGAAACACATCAGACCAGGAGCAACAGAAGGAACTCCTGTACAGTAACTGAAGAGAATATACACATTAAAAATGCTGAGGAAGTGGACAAAACCTCTCACTCACATACAGCAGATCCTCAGAACAGAAGTAAGTTTAAGTCTTTATTGGGGTTTTTCACTTACTCATGTATTACTATGTTAATTAATGCTTAACCAGCTTTAATCAGTAACCAAAGTTTTTTTCAAGATTTCTCAAATCATAAGTGAGCCAGATTTTTGATGTGTGCTTATAAGTTTATAGCTTAACGATCAGGTTTGTCTTGCATTGTACTGTATCATACAGGAGCAATCCAGTTTAAGGCCTTCGCTCTCTAGCCCATTGAGAACTTTGCACAAGACAGTTGATATTGTAGCATTCATAGCTATTAATAGAGCCACAGCTTTCATTCAGGCAGTGATGGTTGATTGACCAACTGTTGTGCGCCACAGCTACGCCGTGTTAGAGGTTTACAGTTCACTCTAAGCCAAGCTACACCTAATTCTCTCAGGTGTCAGCTCTCTGTTGACTTTCAGCTGACTCTCAGTTCTTCCTGCTCTGCCCTGGGTAAAAAAAGCCCTGCCTTCTCAATAACAGCATAAACTGTAAATAAATGTTGAAGATCAAAAACATTTCTTGAAAACACTACAATATGCTTTTAAAGCCCTGAAACAGACACATCACTCATTTTGAAGCATCATTTTGGGCAATAAATAGATGTGAATTTTACATCAAGAAACATCAGATATTTTAACAAATTAACCAGGGCTCACTGCTCACAGCAAACAGAAATAAACAATATGGAAGACAGCAAACTCACAGTCAGGGGGAAAATTACTGCAAGAAGGAGGACTGACTCACCAAATCGTATAAAGTCTGATCTGAATCCCCAAGAGTGTTTTCACATATAGTGTGATTCACTGGTAACACTTTACAATACTGGTCCACAAATAAGCATGTGTTAATACATAACTAATGCTTTTATCACAGTAAATTAATTCATGGACTAATACTTAATACATCAGGAAATAATGAAGTGTATACATTAATAACGAACTGAATGAACTATGAATAATTAATAAAGGCAGTCATTAATGATTAACATAAATCTAACTCAGTCTATTAATTAATACCATGACTTAATATATTAATTAGGACCCTTTCTATAATGCATAATGTCTGATGGAATTGATGTACATCAACCACATTATAGGCTAATAACCAATACACTAATCTGCAGGAAACTCAATGGCATCACTGTGTGAACATTTCATAATTAATGAATTATCAGAAATTTCATTACAATTACAAGACAAGGGCTGGACTCAGTTTCATGCCCTTGCAATGTAATGCTGATTTACTTAATCAGTAATATTGTGCCAGGAAAAAAGACTTGTGGCCGATATATGCTTGCTGTCTGTCTGGGAAGGTTGCTATGAATGTTTCAGTTGGTGTCTTACTAGAAAAAAAATCTCATACATTGCTTATAATAAACAATATTGTTTCGATGTGGAGAGGCAAGTGAGATGACATACAGCATTCATCCTCCTTTTAAAACTTTCTTGAAAATTGAGCTTAATGTGTGACCCTGTTTCTGGTGTGGATCATGGTGAACAGTCTACATTTACTGGTTTTTACAGTGCATTGAGGGAATTTGGTGCACTGGAGCGATTCTGACAGTGAGACTCTCCTCAAAATGTCTGATTCCCTGAGCAGAACCCTGACTCCTGAAGCAGAGAGCTCTTTGAGACACACACCATGAAAATTGCCGTGATTTAAGGCAGAAGTTTTCAAAACCACAAGTAAACTCAGGTCTGGACTTGACACGTTTTTAACGGTCTCAGACTTGTGCTGGACCTGGTAGTATTTATATTCAGACTTGTCTCAGTCTAACTATTTGATGTGTTGATGACTGTAAGAAGTAACCTACTAACAGTTGCTGCAGTGCGTTTAAATGGTCCTCCTCATATCGTTCTACTGAGTTTCATGACCATGTAAGTATTCATTGGTTCATTCCTGCTATTTGTGAAGAAGTATATTGTTTAAATTACGTTATACCTCAACAAGTAGCCTGGATGATTTGCCGTTATTTAAAGCTTTCTGTGGCAGAGGAATCAGTGGAGTTTGAGTAGAGGAAGCTATACAGTAGGTCTGTCCATGTAAATGGCTTTTTACTAAATTTAACAGCCTTGCACAGCTATGGTGTTTAGGCTATTGTTTTGCTGACTGACCGTTCTCAAAGGCACACATTTGCACCTACCTTGCTAACAGCGTAGTTTAATACTGTTTGCTTAGTTATATTGGTTAGTGACGTTGGTCAGGAAGGAAGGCTGGACATGTTAGGTAAGAAGGCTGGTGTACAGTAGTCTGAGAAGCACATTGGCAGAATCTGACTAGGTGGCATTGGACCGGGCAGTAAAGTGTTTTACTGTTTCTGAAAAAGGTTTTCTGTATAAACTGTACTGTATTGCGTTGTACTTGGAGGCAGATGATCCAAGCAGGTAAAAGGACAGGAAGGGTTCCTGATGTTAGATGGGTGTCAAACTAAAGCTTTTAAATTAGCGAAAGGATCAGTTCCAGTAACTGGCCTTAGTTTGACACTCATTTCTATCAGAAAAGATTCAGAAGACATCTTGATATTATTTTGGTGCCAAAACCTACAAGATTACTTAAAACAGCCAAGCAAATTAATTGAGTTTACTCTGTAAAGTCTCTGTCATACAAGCTAGTTTCCATGTGTTGTATGTTTTCCCCTGTTGCTTTTTTTTGGATTAGACCTTTTGTCTGTTTTTTTTTTCTGTTTCTGATTTTTTGGATTTCTGCATCGTCTTGATTTCTCACACCTACCTGGACTGTGTATTGTGTTCTCTATGAGTGTTTAATAAAGCACCTTGCAATTACATCCAACCTGATCTCCAGTGTATGTGATAGACTGATTTCACACGATTTCCTGTGTCAAGGTATTTTATTTAGCTAGGTACAGTCATGTGAAGAAGTAAGTACACCCCATATTTACACATAAAGATGTCTCATCTCCATTTTAACATTGTTGATTGACAAAGATGATATAATTTGCCAGGTGACATTTAAAATGAAAATTTGTCATCTTTTATGTGGTTTATTCATGTAAGGCTGCTTTGCTGCCTCAGGGCCTGGCCAACCTATCACAGAATCAACTATGAATTATCTGTCAAAACAGTGCTTGAGGAGAATGTTAGACCATCTGTCAAAGAAGTTGAAGTTGATACCAAACATACAAGCAAATTCACGAAGGAGTGGCTCAAAAGGAAGAAATGGCCAAATGGCAAGGCAGAAGCACAGATCTGAGACCAGATCTAAATTCTGTATGGAGCAGTGGACAAAAATTTCCCAAAAAAAGTATATGTCAGAAACTGGTAGACAGTTATTGTAAAGTTAAAGTCGTTTCTGCTAAAGGAAAGGTACTGAAGCCAGGAACTGATGCCAGGGGTGTACTTACTTTTTCAACAGAAACTTGCATACTTTGTTAGTCCTTTCAGCCTGTTCTGAGGCTCTGTCTGATCCACTCAAACCAGTGCAACACACTAACACGCCACCACCACGTCAATGTCCCTGCAGTGCTGAGAATGATCCACCATCCAAATAATACCTGCTCTATGGTGGTCCTGTGGCGGTCCTGAACACTGATGAATAGGGTGAGATAACAAAGTATGCAGAGATACAGACAGACTACCATCTGTAATTGTAGAGCTACAAAGTGCTCCTATACGGCAAGTGGAGCTGAACACTGAGTGTGGGTGTACCAAATAATGTTCTCAGGGAGTGTATGTCCAAAAAAAAAATCATGAGTTGTATTTACTTATTTACTGTAGCTACTGATTACAGATAGAAAGTGAGCTGTCTAGGTATGATGCAGTGCTGAGGTATAACTTTTTGCAAGTAATCTGAAACTCAGGAATTGATTTTGCAAGCTAACGGCTTTATGCTGTCTTACAGTGAAGAATAAAATGTCAAGCATCAGCACTTGACTTCTGCTGCCCCCTGCAAGCCCCTCCTAGAGAGGCTTGGTGATGCAGTCTCTGTTCTACCTGTGTAGTTTTTTGCTTTTTCCATTCAAGAGTTGTTCTGTTCAATAATGCATCCTTTAGAAAGTTCTGAAAGACTACATATGTGAAAAGATAGAGAACAAATACTTCTCCTTTTTCATTTTTTAAAATATCTTTGGTTATGCTTATGAATATAGACGTTTTATTCATATATTATTCATATATTTATAAGTAAAAAGTTACAAGACATCAAGTGTGTACATTGTTTTCACTCATTGTTACTGTTTTCAGGATTCTACAGACTGACTGCAGTGTGTCTGGGGCTGCTGTGTGTTCTCCTGCTGGTTGCCATCACAGTGCTTTGGATCAAGTTCAACAACCTGACTACAAAGAGAGACCAGTTACAGACCAGTTGCACCAACCTGACTGCAGAGAAAGACCAGTTACAGACCAGATTACTGGATGTAAGAAATGAACGAGATCAACTGAAGACCAGTTACGCCTCTGTGACGCGTCAGCTTCAGAATCAGAAAGACTGTCTTCAGAATTTCTGTAATCTGGGTGAGCAAATCATCTCTAAGGTTTAAGACGGTTAACTTTAACTTTTGGAGTAACTTAGGCAAATTGAAATTGTAAGCAAGCAATACACATTGTAGTGTTATATGCTATAGGAGACACATAGCTTACTGCACAGTTTGTTGTGCTTTATTAAAGGCTGTATCAGCCACAGCCTGACAAATAGGCAAGGCTGCAGGCTAACAACAGCTAGCTCTAGCTTAGCTCAGGCCTGCACTCTTCACATCTGAAACTAGTTCATGTTATACAGGCATAAATACAGAACCAATAAACAGAATAAACATGAAGGCCTGATTAGCATTAGCTTAGCTATTCTGTGGCATCAGCTGAGCTAACAATAACTTAGTTAGCAGGCCAGAGATGACACCACAGTGAGGTGACCAGACTTCTGAAAAGAAAACCGGAGACATTTCCAGTTTGGCGGTCAATATATGATTAAAATATCCAATGTTTTTAATCTATCAAATAAAAAAGGGGGGACAGTTCTAGTTTCATGTATTTTGATCATGGTAACTGTTGCACTTTAATAAACTGATATGTCATATATGGATGGCTGAAAAAGTGATGCAGTTTTTAAAAAGTATGTGCTATTTATAGAATAGCACGTTTAGTAGCCAACATACAAGTAAACTATATGCCTATACAATTCAAGTCCTGTAACCACCCCTGCTTTTAATCCCTGGGTTACCTCGTGTCTTCAAAAGACTTTGTGGTGATGTTGTGGACTCATTTGACACTTGGTAGCTTCTGGTCGAGTTTTACACAGCAGTATTCTCCAAAACTCGACGAGCGAGTGATAGAATTAAGCTTACTGCTGTTATAAAATGGCAGCCAACATAAAATGATAAAATACACAATTTTTAGAAAATAATTTGTCACCAAGAAATGTAGTTCCTGTAGAGCAGGGGTGTGTAAGTCAATCACTAAAAGGGACATATTTAAAAAAAATCACTTACACTGCAGTCATTTCATGAACTTTTCAACCTTCCGTTGTATAAGGATGAACATATAAAAACAGCACTGTTTAAAGCAAAAACCTTCACTTTATAAGTACGTTTTGGTCACCAAATTACCACCAACCCCACAGCACCCCACTTCTTGTGCTGGGGCTGAATCTCAAATGGTTCCCTGCTCTCTACATAGTGCTTTATATAGGAATTTAAATACTAGATCCTGCACCACCACAGTGCATGATATAGTTAAAAACTAGTCATTTGTAATACAGAGTTCAGGTGCTGTGAGGCGGTCAGTTGGTGTCTATATTGTGTATTAACGGCTTTGAACGCGGCTCAGCCAATCAGATTTTATGACTGGAACTATCGGTTTTAGAAGTGGTCTGCAGATCTCATTCCGAGGCTCTCCTGTGGTACCTAGCTGAGGCCCCAAAGAGGAGGTGGCGCTGTTGCCATTATTGCCACCATCTAGTGTCATGGGGTGGTATTGCAAATAGAGCCCAAGATTTTTCATTCTGCAGTTTTTTGAATAAAAAACTAAATGCTTGCTTTAATAATATTTTCCCTGTTGTTTATTGTGTAGTTAAGTAAATCATTTGAGCGATTTTATAGTGTTGTTATTAAAACGCTTAAGCCAGCATGTTATTAGTAAATACAGTAAGAACACAAACACGTGATTTTGTTGACAAAAGAAATGCCTGTAAAGTAAACGACTGAGAAAATGTAATGCAACGTTACTAACAATCAAAACAGCTAGCTGGTTTTCTTAGTCACTGAATGTTTTATAATAAACAGTAATGCCCGCTTCCTGCTACCCAAAACCCACTGTAGAAAAGGGAAACATATAGATGAGATTTCTTTGTTTTTTTAGTGAAATACATCCTTCTACTTTCTGAAATTAAAGAAACGTTCTGGGAAAGTGATTAGAAACTATTTTAACTTTCCGTTTTTAGCCACTGAGCACCATTTACTCCCATTCATTGAGGCCTCACTTGCGGGCGCCCTCTGCTGATTAGCAGTCCTGTTTTTAATATAATGGGGGAAATAGGAAGTGGCCAGGCTCCTCATAAACTGGCTCTGGGTAGACTGGCAAATGAGATTTATGGCCTGATGCTGTTAGGGGGGCCTCTATTGGCCAAAACAGGCACAATGCGAAACGTCTGCACTTCTTCTCTGCAGTCAGGTCTTTCTTTCGAGTCCATAAACCAGAAGAGAAAGCTTAAAATACAAACAATACACAAAACGTTAGGCTAAGGCGAGGTAAAAAACAAACAAAGCAAAGGTCAAAGATGGACAGACAAACTTACGCACTGGAAGGCTTGTTAACGATCTGTGAGACAAAGACAATACTTCGCAATAAACTGCCAGACTGGGGGGGTTTAAGTAGTGTGTTAAATGGGTGACTTGATTCAATAATTTGGTGAAGCGTTGGGGAGTCACGTGAGGGAGGTCTGGGGTCATGTGATCTGGCGGGGCATTCTGGGAAATGGAGTCTGGAGGCTAAGAAGCGGTGACAGCAGGGTCAGAGGGAAGCATGACAACTACTGCCAAGCACTAGATAAATATTAAATACTGATAAATTATAGTTAGTGTCGGAGTCTTTGGTGTTAAATATATGTTTCCTGCTTTTTTCTGACATCCTGTAATTTACTAAGAACTACCTAATTGAAAGGGTGGTCTTTGGCTTTTTGATGGAAAACCTCACTCTCAGTAGTGGAGCTTTATAGCACTTTACAATTGGTTGCCTCAGTCCAGCTGATGTGATTTAGCTTTGTGAAGGTATGATAATTACATAATGAGTGGAATCAGTTTTGAAAGCCTTTAACTGTGATTGTAATATTTATTCATGTGTGTGTTAAGTGTGTTAAACTCCATTTACTTGTGATTACCACACATTATTTCACACATCCTGAAGTGCTAATTCTGTGAATCTCAGTAACTGACATACTCTGAAAACATCAATGAACAAAAGCACTGCAATATGGAAACAACTATATTTCCATATTCAAGACCATCATATTACATTTCAAGTTGTTCTTAACACCACAAGGGAACACTGTGATGCAATTAGGGATGCATAATGATATCGGAATCATATCGATATTGGCAGATAATTGCTTAAAAATCATAAGTGTAATAAATATTCAAGATAGTGTTGTATTGCTAATACAGGTAGACTTTGTGCCAGTTTGTAAATTTTATAAATGTTTATGTATTGGTACTATTATTAGCATCAGCTGTGAAAGAAGAAAGTAACTCAGATATTTAAGTGTATAATGAATCTCTGCTTTTATGTGTATGTTTTCAATTCATAGTGAAGGCAGTGCAGGAGGGTTGGACATTTTTTGAGACCAGTATGTACTTCATCTCTACTGAGAACAAGAGCTGGAGTGAAAGCAAACAGGACTGCAGAGAGAGAGGAGCAGACCTGGTGATCATAAACAGCAGAGAAGAACAGGTGAGAGAGAGAGAGAGAGAGAGAGAGAGAGAGAGAGAGAGAGAGAGAGAGAGAGAGAGAGAGAGAGAGAGATATTTGGGGAAGGGATGGTAATTTATGTCAGACCACACAAGCACATATATGTATGCAGTAAGTTACTTTTCCTCTCTGTTTCTGAGAATGTACATCTGGTTGTTAACAGAACTTTACTGAAAAGTTGAGACGAGGACAGAAAGCTTGGATTGGTCTGACTGACAGTGAGACAGAGAGGGCCTGGAAATGGGTGGACGGCTCAGCACTGACCACTGGGTAAGAGATCACTGAACTGAACTCTGGTCATGATACAGTTAATGACTGTCACTCCTCACTGCTCTGATAAACACAGTGGATTCTCTGATTCTCTCTTTCAGGTTCTGGGGAAGTGGAGAACCCAACAGTAGAGCAGGAGATGAGGACTGTGTCATAACTGGTGACAAGTCTGATCCTGTAAATAACTGGGCTGATTATCCCTGTATTAACCGGTTTGTTTGGATTTGTGAGAAAAGTATTTTAAACTGAGAGTGTTTTAGAATGAATATCAGGAATATCAGCAGTTTGTTTGGATCTGTAAGGGAATATTTATCTGAATGGTCACCAGCATGTGAGTGAATAACAGCATATTTGTATTTCATTCATAACTGTCACTCTTTTAATTACATTTGACCTGTGTGCTTATTATTTTTTTGATGGTAGAAGAGAAAAGAGAAACAGGATAGGGGAAGTCAGACAGTGCTGGCAACTCCTAGAATCAGATTTTGAAAAGCTTCAGAATTGTGTGATGATGATAATTTGAAGGTGATGGCAAGTTTATAACAAGATCCTTCAAACAGCTTTAAAACATCAGTTTCTGACAGTTCAGTCTGTCCTGGGAGGTGTTCAACAAAGTGAGCTGATTTGAATTAGCCTAGCTTAATTTAGCCAAACAGTTCACTCCAGGCTCAGTGGGCTCCACTATCCAGGTGAGGCTGCTAAATTCCCTTAGGTGAATAAAGAAATAACAACAGTAATTGTATTTGGCAGTAAAGAAGGATTACAAAAGGTTAGTGCTCACCTTGAATCCAGAGGTTAAAGACCTCAACATCAAGCAGAAAATTCAACCCATTTCTATTCCTGCAGATTTCTTTGAAAGCAAGAAAAATATGGTATTGTATTTAGTTGTTGAGGCTTCTGTGTAATTTTCTATTTGTTTGTTTTCTGACTGTTTATGTTCAGGCAAGTGATCAGACATCAGATGTGTGTTTAGAAAGTTTGATTGCCCCCTAGAGGCTGAATGAAGTCAGTGCAGGACCTGTTTATAATCTAGTCTTTTAAATATTTGTCTTATACATCTGCTTTTTATTATTAATTTTTACATTTTACTGTTTTTGATCATATTTACTGAATTGCATGAATTCCATTTGAAATGTTAAGCATGTATCTGTGTAAGAACTTTAATTGTCTAATACATTTAATGGAGCTAATAGATTATCTAATAGAAATAGCAATAAATCATGAATATGTGTTGCTGATGATATTTGTTGTCATGTTTTATTTTTTTTTAAAATGTATTGATATTTTATGTTGGTGGTGTTTCACTGCATCAGTTGTGCAATCATCACCATATTCCTGTATGATTCAGATGAAGTAATTCAGTCATTCAGATGAATAAAACTTCAGAGAAATGACACACATTAATATTTAGTTGGTTTCAGAGACTCATTTTAACAAAAACAACCTTATAGCAAAAGCACACAAACCCTGTTTGGATCTATGCACATTTTGCGATCAATGTGAGTGTAATTCACTAAAAATTGTCCACACATCATCAGACACACTCTGAGACACCTATACTCCACATAAGATGTATATATAATGTATTATTAAGGAAATATGGATCAAATCTTTATCTTTGAGTTATGAACACAGTGCCTAAATGCTGCAAACCCGATGATAACTTCAGTAAATGTACGACTTCTACTCTTTCTGACTGAGTATCAGATATCAGTTCCAGTTTACACAGTTCTAATGTATCAGTCAGTGAGCAATAACAGTACAAAATACACGAGTATGATCAGTAGTTTGGTTTCAAAATCTTCTCAAGAACCTTGATTAACCTGCTTTTAAAACAGGCTAAATTTGGTTGCCACATCACAATGAACCATAAGAGGGCACCAAACAAAAACTGAAAAGCAGATCCAACACTAACCAGTTTTACACACTTAACTGTATAATATACCAGCAATACGTTTAGCTCAAACTCAAATATTATTGTTTAACCTTTAAATTATTTCAATAAAAACTCTGAAAAACTCCATAAGAATCTCCTCTTAACCAGAGCTACATCAAAGAAAAGAGACCTGCGTAAGTGCATGTAGCTCAACAACCACAAGAGGGAGCCACTCAGCTGAACCCACTGAGTGAAGCAGTTTCACTAAAGGTGAATCTCATTTTGCTCCCTACTGCCTATGTAGTGAACTATGTAGGTCATGCAATAACAATTCCTGCATTCAAATAGTGCAGAAGCTCATGTTAAATAGGGGGTCGTTTGGCCTGAGGCTGAATCCCTCTATGTATCCCATCATGTGTCTAATAGAAAGTCAAATGAGATTCAGCCACAGGCTGCATGACTCCCTAATTAACATGAAGTGTAATATTTGAGTGTAGAAACCAGAGTTTCATGGCTTATGTAGTGGAGTAGGGAGTCATCTGAGATTTAAAGTCAAAAAACAGAACGACTTAAAGATGTTATAGAATGGAAAACTGTATTTACATTGACACAGTTGAATAAGGAGAGTTCAGTACATGAAACTGACATACGGTGAACCTCAAACACTGTTGTCTCCTTCTTCAAATGAAAATCCTGCATTTGCAAAAGTGGGTAGTAAAACGGGCCATTTCCAAAATCTAAAAACTGTTATGTAACAGTCCTGACTCACTAATATTTACACAGCCAAAGTTTACATACACCAGCCTGTGTTCTAGCCCAGCAGATATTGTGAAGAACAAAACAATGACATTGGATCAACAGCAATGAAATTGGCATACTGTGAAGAAATGTGTCGTTCTAGGCTGTCTTGGTGCTTTTCTTGCCCTTCCCAGGGATCTAAACTGTCATCAGGCATGGCTGATGTTCATCTTTAAAAGAAAGTGAACTTGGCTTCCTATTCGCCAGCTTCTTAGTCGAATATTCCGTTCCAAGTGCTGGAATGTACAGTGCAAGAATGTAACTGCAGCACCATTTAAGGTGGAATGTAAAATTTGCAAAACAAGCTGGCATATCAGAAGCCATCTTCAGCTCCCACATCTTTAACAGGATCCCAGACAACTTTAATTCAAAGTTGTTAGTTTGCGCCGCACATTTGACACTGAAGAGAGGGACAGTTCCAACTTTACATTTAGATTTACGGCATTTGGCAGACGCTCTTATCCAGAGCGACATACAATTTGATCATTTTACACAGGTAGGTGAAGGTAGTGTTAGGAGTCTTGCCCAAGGACTCTTATTGGTATAATGTAGGGTGCTCATACAGGCAGGGATTGAACCCCAGTCTTTAGCATGGAAGGCAGAGGTGTTACCCACTACACTACACCAACCAACTTTATTAGCATCACAGCCCAATTGCAGCCTATAAGTATCAGCCATGCTATGAGATTTTATCCACTTTTTGACAGCTGAAGCCAGATCATCATAAATCAAAAGTTTCATAGTGAGCTAATGACTTTAATTTACTTTGTGTTGTGGTCAAGGTAACGTTAGCTACTAGCAAGCTTCAAGTAACTAGAATAGCTAACTAAATAGTATCACGGCCTAGCTTATTTATATGGATGTTAATTTTATTTTCCTGCATGTGTCTATTTTGACATGTTGCTTCTACGAGAGCCATCATGGTGCCTCTCTGTAAACCAATCAGAGCAAAACTCATCAAATTATTTATGAGCTCACCGAAAAAGGGAAAGCAGCTCTAAGGCCACACTTGGAAACACAGCTAATAACCACCAAGAACAAAACCACAAACAACAAACAGCAGGTGTGGGGATAGTAAGGGGGCAGAGCAGGAATGGTCAGGATCTGACCATCAACTAGTGTTGTTACAACAGGAATACTTTGTCAATCCCAGCATAATCACCTCAGAAACACTAACAACTGTTAGCATTCAGACAGATCCACTATTTTATGCAAATCTATGAAGTTGTAAAGAGTTATTTGCTGTGTAGTTTTGTTTTGTATTGTAATTTTTATTATTATTTTATTAAAGTTTATTATTTTTTGGTTGATTATGTGGAACAGTGTGGGTGATCTGAAGCGAGGTTTTAACTGGTGTAAGCTACTGCTTTGCATTGTTACACTGAATGTATTTGAATTGAAAAAAAAAAAACATTTATATTGCTTGTTACCACATAATAAATAAAATCCTGCACTTTACATTAACTGTCAAAGAAAAAAAAGATACTGTACATCAGGGGTGCTCAATCCTGATCCTGGTGATCTACCACCCTAAAGAGGGGGCCAGATTGTACCTCACTGATTGGTACAATCTGGCCCCGACTATCACCTCCTCATTCACATCATTTGAAACTGTTTGTAAAAAAAATACGGTGTTATAGATTTTATTCACAATAGAACATAGAACTCATATCAGATGTTGAAATTGAGACATTTTACCATTTCATGAAAATAATTAACCCATTTAGAACTTGACAGCAACGCATCTCAAAAAAGTTGGGACAGGGGCAACAAAAGGAAAAGTAAGGAAAGTAAAAAAAACAGGTGGAGGAGCAATTTGCAATTAACTCAAACAGCTGGGTATAAAAAGAACACTTTAGAGAGGTAGAGTGTCTCAAAAGCAAAGATGGGCAGAGGTTCAGCAATCTGTGAAAAACTCAGAAAAATGTTCCTCAACGTAAAATTGCGAAGACTTTGGATATCCCACCGTCTACAGTACATAATATCATCAAAAGATTCAGAGAGTCTGGAGAAATCCCTCTATGCAAGGAACAAGACCGATGGTCAATATTGCTGCAGAATGAAGAGCCGTTTGGGAGCCGAATCGACTTTTATAGGAGAGCTGAATCCAACCACAGCAGAATCCGACTCCCCTATGTGTACACACACATCACACAGGCAGAACCTCAGCTCAGCAGTGACGACTGTAGCACCTTTTCTCGCTACATTTCTCCTACTCCTCCTCTTGTCCCGTACCCTGCAGTTATACTACTTTATCAGAAGTCCAGGCTTTTAATCATAATCATATAACCCACTGTCCCCCTGGCTCATAAACATTTAAACAACATCACTGCTGCCGTCACAACCGTAGCTGATGTACTTTGGCTTTATTCTAGCAAAGATAAAAAAAAAAAACAGAACAAAACAGTTATATCAGATACTGTTTTGTCATTTCAACTGTACAAAAGCATTTTTTTGGATTCTGTGTGTAATAGTTTGAACGTCTAGGCTACTAAATTGTAGCTTAATGCTGGTGAAATCAGCTGGACTCAGTGTTGTGCAACAGCAAGAACAGATCACATCCAAAACACTTGTACGTGCAGTCTCCATCCTTGTGTTTCTTGTAAGTTTGTTAGATAAATCTAAATGTTTTAAAACTTCACTCTACACGAAATAAAAAAAAATGTATCATTTAAGCATTATTTTCACAAGTTGAATCACCCTGCAGTTATATTCATTTATTTGTAATCAAGGCTTTAATTATAGTTTATACAGCTGTCATGGTTGTAGTTGATGAACTTTGGCTTTATTCTAGCAAAGATAAAAACAACAACCATATATATATATATATATATATATATATATATATATATATATATATATATATATATATACACACTTGTAAAGAGTAACTAGTAAAGAGCAGTAACAAGGACACTGTTGGTTGTGTGTGTGTGTGTGTGAAATGTGGCTATTGAGCAAGGAGGGTTGAGACCAACTGTGTGAAAACAGTTTATGTCTCTTCACCAAGACGGCAGTCCTGAGATAAAACCATGTGCACTTGCCACAGTAAAAAAAACTGTTTATGCACAGAAAAAACACTTTCATAAATGCTGACTCACCTATGAAGATGAAAATGCACTTCACTTCTCAATTTTATAAATCATACACATTTCCATCAAAATATATTTTATCATTGAAGAAAAAAGGCACAGTTTAACTGAGGAACCCAGAGTAAGTAGAAATTGTATTTTATACCTACTGTGAAAAAAGGGTTAACCAGTTCCAGTTTGCAGACTTCTAAGTGGACAATAACAATAAAAAACATTAGTATGATCATGAGTTACAGTTGTTCAGCATCTCATTATCTTCTAAGACAGGGGCGACAGTCTCGGCTCCTGGTGGGTCGTGGCTCTGAAGATATTTCACTGTAGTAATGCTTAAATATGTGTTACAACTTGATTGTGTTTTTCATGTTCTCTCATGGTGATTAAAAAAGTCTACTCTGTCTTTTGATAACCTTCTCAAATCAAAGAGCATTCACGGTTTGGATTTCCTGGTGGTGGCTGGGGGGGCCTCAAGAAGCAAACACTGGGCTTGGGGACAGCACAGATGAAGCCGGTTGCGGCAGCTAGCAGTGGAGACGAGGCTGAAAGTTGCCAAAGCTGCCTGGTAGTGTGGCCTTCAATTCCCCCTGACCCTTAAGGGTGGTGCTGTATGTCACC